CCTTTAACTTTAAATATGTCTGAGAATTTCTGTATCACCCCATGGGAGCTCTGATTTAAGCGTCATTGGTTTTTGATATCTTACAAGTGGAGTATTTGATCTCAGCCCGTAGATTCTCGATCCTCCAAAGACATGTTTGCCTCAGACGTGTTATTCGACTAGCAGAGCCTGAGTCGATTGTGCGAATGCATGTTGACAGACGGATACTTGTTGTCAAGACAGACATCTCCTTTGGATTAGAAATGTGACGTACACTCGACATAATGCAAAACAGATAAAATAAATAAAATCATCGCCGCTACACTGCGCGTATCCAAAACTAGGGATCGAATGGTGTCCGCAAGTTTAAGTCGAGGGTAAGTATTTAATAATTCGAAAAATTGTCCTTAAGGGACCATTATTATCGCCTGGATGCAATTTAGCTGCCTGGCTTAACGGTGAGACCAGCCTTTATTCTTTGCCCAGAAACCCTTATCTGGGTTTGTCCGGTCTGTCTGATTTCTGGTTCATTGGACGTAGATTAGAAAGCGATGCACCCAGCGTATGGAGATAGAAAGCTGTGAATGGCCATCATAGTGGATGTAAGCAATGGGCGCCAGTCTAGTTTACCAGATGACAGAGAGGACGCTGTGGGATGAAGTTACAATGATGCGTCTTACCGGGTTGATGCTGATACCCTACACAAGGCTAGGTGCTCCTTGTGTTCGTGATTATTGCTGGCGGGTGCTGAAAGATTTTGCAGCATCATGTCACGGAGCCTCAGAGACGTCACCTATCTCTTCACAGTCCAAAATGCATATTTAAGAACCCGAAGACTTTGTGAAACATAAATCGGTCTATCCTAGTAAGTGAAAGATAAATGCCCACAGGCTACACACGCCAGTCAAATTAGAGGAAGATAATTAGCAACGAGGACGTAGCTTGAGACTGAACTGTTATTAAAACTGTCTAAGTTTACTGACATATGTTAACACAATAAAACAAAACGCTTTTAATATCACTATATTACTCTTGCTCCTGGGAGTCCGAAAGTGCAAAACGAGTGCTATGGATAATGTGCAAGTTGGTAACGATTAAGCAGACTGAAACAACGACCACCGCGCATTGGGGGTAGGGTGGTTCACAGAACTATCCGGTGTAAGCAAAGGCGAGGAGATCACCGGGAACCCCGTGCCGGGTGTGGAAGCTGATCTGGTAGGCGAGCGAAGGACGTTGGGCATGAGTCAACTTCAGGCGGTCGATCGAAACTACCTTGACACGATTATAAGGGGTAATTACGAAATGCTTGTCCTTTCGCGATACGGCTCGAAATGGTACATTGTAGGGTCGTTGTAGTAGCCTACGAAAATTACCTACGCGGAGAAATACAAAAGAATACGTTAGTAGGTTAGAGTCAGTATGCGACTTGTTTTCTTGAGCATTTGAAGGTATGGTTCCGAAATAAGTCACTGCTTTGCGAGACTTTTGTAGGTAAACAGCGGTGCCCAGGTCGGCTAGACTTTGACGCGGCTCGAAAAAATCGCTTGAAATCAATAGGGTAGTGTCGTAAACGGTCTCAGCAGCAGGGAGCTTCAAGTCAGGCTTGAGCGTGGTAAGGATACTGGACAATACGAAGGGCAGATACTCACTCCACTGAGTGGGTTTGTCATAGCTCTGGAGAGAGGTTTCGAATTGGTGGTGGAAACGCTCAACTAAACCGTTTAGTGGGGGATGGTAGGCTGTCGTGAGTTTGCGAAAACATCGGGAAAGCTGGGTTAGGCCATTTTTTCGATCCTATGGAGGTTTTTCAGTAAGATCGCAGTTCGTAGCCCGGAATGGGGCAGATAACCTAATACTAAAACCCCAACTCTAAGCGTAAAACTCTGACCAAAACATCAACCCTAAAACCTAACCCTAACCTTGACACTAAAACCTAACCATAAAATCCTAAACCTAACCCTAAGCCCTAGCTCTAACCTTAACCCTAAACCTAACCCTGAATACCAGCCCTAGCCTTAACCCTAGGTCCTAACTCTAAAATCTAGCCCTAACCCTACCCATAAACCGAATCCTACACTTAGCGCAAAAGCCCTAACACTAACCCAAAAATCTTAACCCTATCCCTAAACCCCATCACTAACATTAACCCTAAAACCTAACCCTAACCTTAACCCTAAACACTGGCCTTAGTCCTAAAACCTAACCCAAAACTTAACCCTAAAACCTAACCTGAAGCCATAACCCTAACAAAAACTCCTACCCCAAACCCCAAACCGTAACCCTAGTCTTAACCCTTAAACCTAACGCTAACGTTAACCCTAAAACCTAATTCTAAAAACCTAACCCCAAAACGAAAACCCTAACCCTAACCCCAAAAATTGATCCTAAGCCCAACCCTAACCAACACTAAGCCCAACAACCTGACCGAAACAGGCGAACTGCCTAGCTCAGTAGAAACACACCTATTGATAACAAGTTTCCTCGGTAAGGGTCAGATCATCGACAGTGTCAACTCACAATGTCTGGCTGCGAACTGCGATCATACCGGTTTTTCCTTATCACATTACCACCTTTTTAACAGCAGCGTATCAGTTTGACCGTCTTTGCCGACGATGACCACCATGTGCCCCACAGCAGGCTGAAAGCAGGGGCAATGACTTGCGCATTAATTGGTTTAAAGTGACAGTAAACTTGGACGGCATTTACCGCACTCTCCCCTCCTACCCCATCTAGGCTCCGCTTCAAGACGTATTAAAGAAGGCCGGAAATGAGAGAGGACACAGGTGACTGGTAATTAGGCATACCACTACACCTCCCTGGTTTACAACGTACACTGAAAAAAAATTTACCCAACAAGAAGGAAGGCGGACGGCCCGGATCCCACTAGGTAGGAGTACAGTAGAGGCCTTGTTAAGATCGAGCCATTGCGGTCTGACTGTTAGTCTGCCAGTCGCCTACTTTTCATAAACACACACTGGACTGACTACAGGGTCCGGGTTATCCCATCGGTTGACAACCTACAAAGCCATGGCCTTTAGCGCCACTTGATAGATTGGAGCGCGTCGAATTGTTTATAGTAAGGAAAACACACTGAGGCAAAAACTTCATTCCCTTCCCATTCCCAGGTATCAACCACTGTCCGATCCGGTCAGTTGTCTAACACAGTTGCGTTGCCCCCAGTCCAGCAACAAACGCAACGATCTTCCGACTCCATACTCCGTGCTAAAACTTCGCCTAGGCGGAGTAACAAGCCATGCGGGGAGGGCAGAGGTGAACACTTTTCCCAACACCGGGGTCGGTGCGTCAGATGGTCGAGCAATCATCACGCCAACATCCAACGCACGTGATGAAATTGCAGCAATTATCGACTCGAATGTCGGCCATCAAGCAATGATCACACCAAGTGCGACGATCCCGGATGAAGGGGGGAGCCGTCAATGTTCATAGATATACGGTAGCATGGCTACTGCATCCTATAAATACCGCAGCCCCTTGTGCAACAACCACCCGTCTCTGCTTCTTTGTCTCTGATGATGGATTCGAGTAGGAATCCGAAACGTCAGGCTAATAAAGCTCTTGTCCCGGCGATCGTGTCTCCTTCTTCAAGACTACTTCATGGGACTCGTCTCTTCGCTTCTATTGGTGTGGATAGTGTAGGCGGGGACGGCGAATGTATGTGGGGCTCCTGACATTGGCGCACTGGTCGCAGTGTGACGGATTCACAAGAAACCGATTAGGCTGATGAGTGAGATGAACGTTTGATGGCAATAGAGACAGGTTAGGACCGAGGCCACATTGCTGGAGATGAGGTGATAATGATTGGGGTGGTAGTTGGCGGGTCGTCGAGAGAGTTTTGCTCGGTGGTAGAAATGGAAGCTCCGCTGGTCGCCGTCGTCACAGAGGTTGTGACAGTGATGGTGTAGATGGCAGTGACCGACGGAAGCGGCGCACGAGGATGTCGAGCGTCGACGGTGAGGGAAATCATCGAAGTAGACGCCGTGGGGGCTGGAGCCTGGGTGGCAGGAAAAGCTATGGTTGAGGCCGTCAGGCTGGTGCATTGAGTCCGGAGATGTCTGACGAGGCTGATCTGTGCGAGTAAAGTTCGTTGACAGCGCGGGCAGGTTGGGAGGTGTTGGGGCTGTCGTTGCAGGTCAGGGGCGCCTGAGACTTGCAAGCTTCCCTTTTAGCCCTCGCAGGGCGATCCGGCTAACTTCATAGATAACCGCTTCACTCTTCACTGCTCTTCTCAAGGTAGTCGGTCCAGCGCGACCTCTTCCCAAGTCTTCGGGTTTATTTTTTGCCGCTTCAAGGATTCTTCAAGCCAATCTTGTAGCGGTGGAGTTAACCTCCTGTTGCCGAGCCTCCGCAGTGACGTCTCCTTAGAAGAGTTGTTTTGGTAGACGCTCGTCGCCCATCCTCACAAGGTAGCCGCTCCGTCGTAGCTACAGTCGCTTCAGCATGACGTGGATGCTGAGAATTTCAGTCAGTTCCAGAACTTCCGCATCCGGGATCCTGTCCTACCATGTCAGCTTTAGTATCCGGCGGTGACAACAAAAAGGGAAATTATTCAGCGTTCGTACTTTGCTCTTGTAGACACTAGATCCCTGCAACATACAGCAGCGTCGTCAAGATAACCACTTTGTACATCTTCAGTTTGATGTTCAGGTGGAAACTGTGGCAATTCCGTACAGAGTTCTACAGCCGACGGAGCCCTGGCTGGCCTTGGACACCAAGTTAATTACTTCGTCGTCGACTTTGATGCAACGTGAGAGTGTACAGTCTAAGCAGATGGAGTTGTCCACGGAATTCAGCTGGGTGTCGCTGGCGTGGGTGCGAAGAGCACTGTATGCAGGGTTGGGTGAAAATAGATGCACGACCACCGTTTTGTACGTGTTAATCGTCAACCCAAAGTTGGGGCAGCCGAAAACGAAAAGGTCCGTATTCCGTTGTATGCCAACTTCTGTTTTGGAGTTCAGTACGCAGTCGTCACCGAAGAGCATGTCGTAGGTAGCAGTCACAGGGAGACGCGTTAAAGCTTAAATGCGCCGGTTGTTGAGATTATACCCGTCGATCCTGTAGGTGATGTGGATTCCGGGGCCTCATGGCTACAGGCGTCCATCAGCCAAGGCAGAAAACACGAGGCTAAAGAGGATTGGGGAGAGCGCGCAGCCCTACTACATTCCAGTGGTTACTGCAAACGCTTCTGAGATTGCCCCGTCGTTTGTGACGCGCTCCACCACCCAGTCCTAGAGCTGACGTACAATGGGCGTGGATCTCTCAGGGCATCCGAATTTCCGTATGGTTTTCCAGTGCCCATTGCGATTCACTGTGTCAATGGCTTAAGTCAGGTTCGCGAAGGTAGTGTGGAAGTGGGCCCGCATTTCCTGGCATCTCTCTGGCAGTTGGCTGGCGGCGAAGATCATGTAAGTGGTTACGCGGTGTTGTCGAAATTCACACCGACTTTCTGGAAGAAGTCCCTGTTCTAGATGGCCGGTGAAGTGGTTGAAGAAGATGCGAGCGAAGACCTTTCCGCGATGTTGAACAGTGAGATACTTCAATGGTTATCACAGAGTTGGCTGTTCCCTTGCTGCTTGTTGGAGTGGATGATTGTCGCAACCTTGAAGCCCTAAGGAACTTGTCCTCGCCCACCTACCGACGTAAAAGACAACCAAGTATCGATTTTATGTGCAATCGTGACGTTAATTGTTTTTTGTTCCCACATTTTCTCTCCATCTGCGTCTGACGACGATCTGGGAAACCAGCGCTGAAAAGATACGCAATAGAGCATCTCGTTCCATAGTACCTATCTTATTTCAACATATGTATATACATTTACCGTCTTTATGCATCATCGTTTGTACTGGATTATCTGTAGTACACAAGGGAATAAATCCATTTGTCGGCACACTTTGAATGAATACTTGTCAGAGGGAGTGAAGGTATAAATGATAGGTTTATGGCCAGTGTAAACGTAAACAATCTGTCATCATTGTATTCACAAGAATTCTTAGTGACGGGAAAAATGGCAAGGGGTTCTCCACCAAATGTTCTATAGCGAGAAGGGGAGGGTGTCAGTATGGTAGAGTAGAAGGTCAAGGGTTGGATGCTCGTTGAGACCTGTTTCTAGAGGGCAACAACCAGAGCGCGTTTGGAGACATTAACAATGGAAAGCAGGACATCAGTTAGAGGGCGAGAACTGGCAGTTGTATCCGCAAGGGTCTCTTTGACACGTCGGAAGGCGTCCACGATTTTGTCGGGAAAAGAGAACTCACGGTCGTTGCCGCATAAAAGATATGTGAGCTGAGCACAGTGAGGAATGAAACTTCTGTACAATGGCTTAGTCTTTAAGACTGCGCGGTTGTCGGAACGGATTGGGGGTCAGGAATTTGTGAAAAGCTGAAACTTTGGTGTGTATGAGGTGACGGCCGAAGGCGTTTGTGCGGTCTTCTAGAATCAAGAGCGGGAGAACGCTAAAAACGCATTTAGAGGCATTGATAAGGACGCCAAATTATTTTAACCGTTCAAAAGTAAGACGCAGGTGTTGTAGGAGCTGATATTTACTGGAACATTCAGCCACAAGATCATCGACATAAACAAAAGCGAAAGGTATGTCGCGAAGGACTTCATTACTGAAATGTCGAAATGTTTGGCCAGGGTTGAGGAGATCAAAAGACCTCCCGGCGAACTCAAAAAGACCGAATGGAGCGGCAATTGCCGTCTTGAAGATTTGGCGGAAGGCTTTGAGCAGGTCAACACTGAAAAGGTTGGTGCACTAGCTAAGCTAGAGGAAAAATCACGGAGGTTTGGAAATAGATATCTGCCGCGGACAGTGCAGTTTTTAAATCATCGATAGTCATACACAGACGCAAGTTCATGCGATAATTTTTACAAATCATATGCAAAGGGGCAGCCCTTGGACCATTAGAGGGCGGCACTATGATAAGCTCTATCATATGACTGTATCCGGCCTTGGTAATAGATATCTTATCAGTGGCTAAACGACGGGATGGTTAAAAACGGACGGTCCAGTATTCGAAATGTAATGCAAGACGGAATGTTTAGTAGAGTTGTCAAACTCTAAGAGCCAAATTATAGATGAAAATTCCGAAAGCAAATGATGCTAGATAGTGAAAGGAACGCTTGGTGAAGTGCATGGCCTAGGTCATGAAATGGTATGATTTGGGCATTGAGAAGATAAGGACGCTACTATGTCAGCTGGTTCATGGGACCTGACATCAACGAGCAGACCGAAACAGGATATAAAATCGGCACCGACTATGGTGGTATAGGCGTCAATAATAGTTAATATCCAGTAGAACGGACGTCACAAAGTATGGTCTGAAGTTAGGGATCACTGACCAGAAGTTTTAATGGGAGTGCTCTTAGATACTTGAAGTGAAAATGAAGAGCTGATTGACTTACCATCATTCGGGGATGACGGAATTAGACTGATGTCAGCACAGGTGTCCACAAGGAAATTACGGCAGGAACTCCTATAGGAAATGTGGAGTAGGTGAATTCGGGAAAGGTTGGGCTCACTAACTTCGCCGTCGCTACTAACCGGCAAACGAGAGTTGTGCCGAGGATCTCTTGCAGTAACATGGGAACTGTCAACGATGAACATTTGACCATAGGTGTGGTGGTACTAGCAGCAGTTGTCAGGCGTGGACGGACTTCAAAATGCAGTGAATGATCTCAGAGAGTGAGTGATAGAGGGACATACACGACAGTTCGAGCATCGATTCCGACGATGTCCACCGTGTGCTACACAGCAAAGTGCAGCAGGCACGGTGACTTGCGCGCGAATTAGCTTATAGTGGTCTTAGACTTGCGCAGCATCTACCGCACTCCCTCTCTTCCACATTCTCCACCTGGACCCGCTGTCAAGACAGAGTCAAGAAGACCGGAGGCGGGGTAGGGCGCAGTTGGCTGGCACGGTCGAACCCGCGTCTAGGCGTGTAACCACACCCTCTGGTCCACAACATAATTTTGACCAGGATATTTCACCAACAACAACACCCAAACAAGGGTCAGAAGGAAGAGGATGACTGGGCAGCCATGCCCACCACATATATACCCAGCGAGGGCGCAAGCGCATCTACCGGCAGGGAACCAGGTGTCAGGGAACTGCCAGCGCATGCCAGGCTGCGAGGGCCATGGTTTGTTGATACTGATATAGCACACTTTTTCAGACCTTTGGACCAATAGAGGGGCGTAGACGGTTAGACGCACGAGTAGCACGAAGCTGGGAAATTTCGAGGGTGCTGTGGCCTAGGCGTTTCATTACGTCATGGATGGTAGGTGTAATTGACACAGCCGTGGCACGGCCAGAAACGTTAACTGCAAACGTCAGCTGGAAGTACTCGAGGATGCGATCAGCTGTTTATGCGGGCATTTTGACAGACGTGGAGGGGAGGTGCCAGGATAGCCCGCACAGAAGAGGGCAGCCATCAGAGGAACAGATGCTTGGAAATTGTGGTGTCAATATTTCGTTCGTCCGCCATCTGCCTCAGGCGCCTAAGAACGCCTTAGGTCTGCAGACGGGAAACTGGAGACTGACGACCAGGTAAAAGCGCCCCCCTTTCTATTTTCTTTCGGTCAGCCTTCATCCGGCAACCTAAGTTTTTATTTGCCCCTCCAACCAATCGCCAACCAACACTTTCTCCTGCTCCTCCTCCCCATTTTCCCTCTCTAACCCCCTCCCTAACCTCCTCAATCGACGAACCACACTTTCCATCGACCATAATTATGCACTAATTATTCCGATTGAAGCCTGCCATATCGCCTGGACCAGACAGAATTACTGAACCAGCACTTCGATACCTTCCCAATGAACCCCGCGAACCACTGTCCATAATACTTCAACTGTCACTTGAAGAAGGCGAACTCCCGGAAGAATGGAAGTGTGCATTCATAAACTCGATCCATAAAGGAGGTTCACGACTTGACGGAGAAAATTATCATCCTGTCAGTCTAACTTGCATGGCGTGTAGAATGATGAAGCGCATTACCCAAAAAAACTTTAATGGCATACTTGTAAAAAATACTATGTGATGATCAACATGTCTTTCCTTCATGACGTTCTTGCTACACGAGTGTTCTTTAGTCGCATGAGAAGTGAACAGGGGCCACAGATAAGGGTTATCCAGTAGATGCCATATTTTTGACTTCAAGAAGGCTATTGATAGCGCCTCACACAGGGCTCGTTTACAGAAGATTCTTGATGCATAAACTCAAGGTAAAATGCTTAATTGGATCAAGAGTTGCCCGTCCTTCAGAGTACAGAGAGTGGTTGTTTGGGTCTCTACCTCGGAATAAGCAAAATCAGGAAGTGGTGTCCCAAAGGCCTCTTTTTGGGTCCACTACTCTTTCTGATTGATGTTACTGATTGCACCAGCGAACTAGATTGTGAGTCCCCGTGTTCACCGATGACACAGAAATATGGAGTGAAATCAAGTGTGATAATGGCGCAAAGAAGTTGCAAATGAATATCGGCAAACTGAGTGTTTGGTCAAATAGACGTCTTTTAAAGTGCAATGTGTCCAAATGCCTTGTCCCATTTATAAACGCTGGCCGAAACGCCTCTCCCAAACATTATTACTATATTAACGGGACGACATTAGAAAATTTGGAAGGACACAGAGATCTGGGTGTATGAACAACCACAAATCTAATTCCGTCAGAATACTGTAGGAATATGGTCCAAAGGGCAACTAGTGCTCTATACTAGATCAGATGTACATTTAAAATATTTCCTCCCAAACTGTATGCAAGACTTTTCTATGTCTTCGTAAGACCCCACCTAACATACGGAATGCAAGCAGATTCACCATACATGAGGAAGGATATTAACCTACTCGAACAGGTGTGGCACAGAGCAACGAAGATGGTCAATAGTCCAAAGCATTTGTCTCACCAGGGGAGAATGAATATGTCTGGCTTATCCCCCTCTATCTTTTAGGCAGGTAAATAACAGTCTACCTTGGACATTGCGGATTGTCTGTGGTCAAAGTTTCTTGCCGAGACAGGATGATTTTATTTAGTTTGTCCGTACAAAGAAATTGCATGGCCATCCCTACAAAGTCAACAGCAAATGCACGCGGCTAGGCCGTAGGAAGTTTACGTCCATCCAAGGAGTTGTCTGACCATAGAACTTGCTACCAAGTGAGATGGTGACGACCGACACAATTCGTATGCTTAAAGGAAAATTTGCCTGCGTAATTTTCGACAAAGACCGAATTTTACCAAACGACTTCTCCCACCTTGCCTTGTAAAACATTTTGTCGTACACAATCTTTCCGTGATGAGTCACAGTGAACAATAGCGATTTCTTATTACTAGTGTTGTGTTGTGCATCGGTCACATTCTAGGTGTTTGCAGCTTTATTTTGAGCGTTAATATGTGGAATTATTGTGCATAAACAGGCTCATCAAGGACTCTGGCTGTAACCCTTCAAATACGTACATACATACGTAGTAAGCTGTGTAGGCTCCCTATCATCAAATTACTTACCGTAAATCAAACTTTGCAAGCATTTTTCGATTGACAGGAGATGCGAGAGTGAAGGTCTCCTTTATAGCAGTATATGGGGCGTTTGCACGCATAATTTTCACAATATCCCTTGTTATCTGCTGCAGGACAAAACAGAATTTTACCATGCACACTGAAAAAACGGTCAATGTCCACGGGTTATATACTCCAGTCAAACATAAAGAACCGAATAGACAATGATGATGTAGCTTGTCATGGGATTGTTAATCAAGTCCGTGTTTGAGATTACAGGTGTATATTAGTACACTCAGTCAAAACGATTTTGGCACTAAAGGTACATGAGCGTGGCGCCTGTCGTATTCGAAGACTTATCAGGAGCGATGATGAGCCGGCGGAGGACTCGGACATCCCTATTGTGGCGATTTGCTATGCTCGTTTGTGCACAGCCGTTCGAAATCCTCAGAACCAATATAAGATGAAATTTGTTTATAATTGAACTACTTGGCATTTTTTGCGATAATTTCCGACCAGTCTTTATTAGTTGTCGAAAATAACGCATAAATCCCTTATGCACTCTCTCCAGTTAGCCATAACCGATGTTATGTTTGCTGTCGACAAAGTAGATCTTTCTGCCATCGTGGGTTTGCAGAAGTTTATCGAGAAACATGAGCACATTTTTGCGATTCTGGACTCACTAACAGACTCAAATACATTTACGAACAGCCTAGCGAGCCTACCACAAATAGAATCGATCATACATTTGGTTTCATCAGAAGTCGCGGACAGATCAAAACGCAGACCTAATTTGATTATCCGCAATATACCCCACACGGTTAACCCAACACCATCAATTCAAAGACTTATACATTCATGTGGCCTAAACATCCGAGTACCTACCACCAAGAGACTTCACTCTAGAAGACAAAATAAACCCGTCTTAGTTACCTTCTACTCTCAGACCGAAGCTGAGCTTGTCCTACAAAATTCCGAATTAAACAGAAATCTGTGGAGCCTAAACTCATTTATAGGTCCAGATTTGACACCGATGCAAAGACGTAGACTTCGGGAAACAGACACCAGCTACATACACGATAATCAGCACTCCGGTCCCTCAACTGAACCTCTAGCTACTACTTCTATTTCTGGCACTAGTAAAAAGAAATGCACAGACCAGCGTAAACAAAATGATGAACCCACCGCCCCCCGTAGATGGACATCCAGCAAGTATTTCTGACTCTATTTCTCAGGACAAAAAATGCGTAACTGCAAAACAGTTAGGACTGCTGGACAGAAACAAACGAAGGAGGCATAAAAACAACAACGTTCAACCAGAACAGCAGAACGATGCAGATCCCGGATCCCGTTATCTGACATCATTAGATAGCAATATAAGTTCTACTACGCCCTCCAAAATCGATCAACCAGTACAAGAAATCGACTACCAAACAAGACACACAAACCAAAAGGCCTTATTAGGCACACCAGCACAACCAAGACGCCCTAAGTATGTAGATATCACGAATAAGAGTTCTCCAAACTCTAACCAGAAACAAATAAGCTTCTATGCCTGTACCTCGACTCCCCCAAAATCCACCTGCATGGCATAGGAATAAGCCAAACCATTCTAACATTCCAAAATTCTTACCACCTAATGACAAACCCACAAATAACTTCGGATTTTTCACCTCCCCAACAGAAACTCCATTTAGGTACAATTGATAATTCAACCATTGATTTCGATGATGTCCATCGTGTGCCCCACAGCAGCAGTGGTGGGAGCAGGGACGGTGACTTGCGCAGGGGTTTATAGTGCCGGTAGACTTGCGCTGCATCTACCTACACTCTCTCTTCCTCCCTCGCCCGAGCCCGGTTTCAAGACAGAGTCAAGAAGAACGGATACGAGGGAGGCCGCAGGTAATGGCTCGGGCGGATCCTCATCTTGACGTTCCACCACACCCCCTGGTCCGCACAACAAATAACCAGGATTTCAACCAAAAAACAGAGATTGGAGGCTGGCACGGCCGAACCCGCACCTAGGCGTGCCGCTGACGCCTGGATCGGATCCCACACTGTGGTGGGAGTGCCATAAAGGCCACATTAAAAAGGAGCCATTGCAGCCTGACTCTCAGACCGCCAGCAGTCAAGGAGGAGGTCCAAGTTACCCCGTCAGTTGGCAACCTTCCAAGCCACGGCTTTTAGCGCACCATGATAGCTTCAAGCGTGTCAGATTGTTTATAGTGAGGAGAAAGTGCGCTGAGTCGTCGGCCTCACTCTCCCTTCCCATTCCCACACCACAGCCACTGTCCGAGCCGGTCAGCAGACTGGAGTGGGAAATGGGCGTGGTGGCTGGCATGGTCGACTGACCATGACTGCGCGCGCCACGTGCACGACCTGGCCCATCATACATACATACATACACACACACACCAGGATTTCGCACAACGGGGGTTGATCGGCGTGTCTCTCACTTGCGTGAGAAGGCCGTGGTGGGTGCTGTTTCAGCCCGTCCTCAGCTCACCAGTCCGCCACTCCACACAACACACACACACACAACGGAACGAACTGCGTGGACCGAGTGGGGGTGTCAATCAGCAGCCTTCCTATCCACGACGCTTGACGTGTCGGGATAGTCTCAGACTCAAGTCACCCGTGCAGCCGAAGCCGCATGGGAACCGAGTCGAGATGCACACTTCTCACTTGCGTGGGAGGTGGCAGTTGGGTGCTTGCGGTGGGGGAGTGTTGATGTGTGGTGGGGTGGTGGTGGTGGTGGAGGCAGGGCGGGAGGGTGTTATGGTGTGGTGTAGCCAGCGGTTGTCTACCGCAGGTCGTCGTGGATGCGCATGTGGCCGAATAGGCCCATGCGATGCGTGAAAGTGCGAGGGCAGTGTGGGCAGTGGAGGCGAGTGCGGCGGGTGAAGGTTGGTGCTCCTGGCACTGATTCGCCGATCTCTGTGCGATGGACTCGCGAGTGACCGACCAGGCCGATGTGTGAGGCGAAGGTGCGGTCGCAGCGAGGACAGGTGTAGTCCTGGTCCTCACCCGTGGAGATGGAGGTAGGAGGGATGGTGTCTGTTGTTGTGTCGTGGATGTGTGTGATGCTGGTGTAAGTGACGGCCACCAGAGCGGTCGTGGTTGGTGCCGTGGGGCAGGAGGAGGAGGGGGGGGGGAGGAAGAAGAGGAAGAGGAGGAGAAGGAGTAGGATAGAAGTGGTGGTTCAGAAGAATTGTCAGAGTTAGTTGGCGGCGGAGAGGACGAGGAAGAGGCGGCAGTGGGAGGTGCAGTTGGTCCGACGGTGTCTAATAAGTCCAATTTGTGCCCGGAATGTCCGTTGACACCGACGACACATTTTAAGCGGTTGTGCGTCGGCGTTGCAGACGGGGCGTAGCTGTGAGTTGCGTGTTTGGCGTTTCACTTTGGCAGCGACGATTCGGTTGGCTTCATAGATCGCAGCGCCTGTCTTCACTTTAATCCTCCAAGTCGGTCGGTCGAGGGCGAGCTCTTCCCAGTTGGTCGGGTTAATTTTGAGACGCTTCAGGGAGGACTACAGAGTATCCTTGTATCGACGAATTTGGCCTCCTTGGCGGCGAGAGCCCGTCGCGACGTCTCCGTAGAAGAGTCGTTTGGGTAGTCACTCGTCGTCCATGCATACCAGGTGGCCGCTCCAGCGCAGCTGCATTTGTCTAAGCATCGTGTAGATGCTGAAGATTCCCGTCCGTTCCAGCACATCAATGTCGGAGATTCGATCCTGCCAGTTCAGCCTCAGGATGCGACAGAGACAACTGAGGTGAAAGTGGTTCAGTCGACGTGCCTGCTTTGTGTACACTGCCCAAGTTTCCGCTCCGTACAGCAGAGTCGGCAGAATGACGGCCTTGTACAGCTTCAGCTTCGTGCTAAGTTGGAGATCATGACGATTCCAAACTGTGCTTTGGAGGCGGCCGAAGGCTTGACTGGCTTTCGAGATCCTGGGAGCGACTTCGTCATCGATTTTGATGTTAAAGGAGAGGGTGCTGCCCAGGTACGAGAAGTTTTCCACCACTTGCAGTTGGGTTCCGTTCACACTGATTTGCGGCGCGTTGGGAGGAGCGGCTGTGTTGGGTGGCGTTTGATGTAGAACCACCGTCTTCTGCGTGTCGATGATCAGACCGAAGTTCTCGCAGGCGGCAGAGAATAGGTCCATGCTCCGTCGCATCTCCTCGTCCGAGGTGGTGTTTAGGGCGCAGTCGTTGGCGAAGAGAAGATTGTGAGCGGTGACGTAGAGACGCGCGATTGGAAGTGCCTCTGCCGTTGATTCAGGAGGTGACCTTTCGTCCTGTAGGCGATGCGGATTCCAGGACGTTCGTCGCGGTAGGCGTCCATTAGCATGGCAGAGAACATAAGACTGAAGAGGGTAGGAGCCAGCACGCATCCCTGCTTCACTCCGTTTGTCACTGCGAATGCCTCTGATACGGCTCCGTTGTCTGTGACTCGCGCCATCATACCGTCGAGCAGCTGACGCACCATCTGAGTGTATCGCTCCGGACAGCCGAATTTCTGCATGATCTTCCACAGTCTGCACGATTCACTGTGTCGAAGGCTTTCGTCAGGTCCACGAAGGTAGAGTACAGGTGGGTCCGCATCTCCTGGCACTTCTCCTGAAGGTAACAGGCGGCGAAGGTCATATCCGTGGTCCCGCGATGATGACGGAAGCCGCATTGGCTTTCCGGCAGAAGGCCCTGTTCCAGATGATTATTCAAACGATTGAGGAGGATGCGAGCGAAGATCATCCGACGATGTTCAGCAAGGAGATGCCGCGCTGATTGTGGCAGACTTGGCGGTTCCCTTTTCGCTTGTAAAGATGCACGATTGTTGCGTCTTTGAAATCTTGCGGGACTTCATCTTGACGCCACATCTCCTGGAAGAGCGCAGTCAAGCTGTCCATCAGTTGAAGACCTCTGTGCTTGTAGACCTCAGCAGGGATTGCTTCCGATCCGAGTGTTTTCCCGCTGGAGAGCTGCTGCACGGCCCTGGTGGTCTCCTGGAGAGATGGCGGGAGGTCGAGGTCCACGTTGGTCTCCACTTGCGGCAAACGCTCGACGGCGGCGTCGGAGATGACGGAGGGGCGGTTGAGGACGCCCTGGAAATGCTCGGCCCATCGCTGTAGGATTTGCGTCTTCTCAGTCAGGAGATTGCTGTCGTCGGCGCTGAGGAGAGGAGCAGTGCCCTTCGTCGGCAGACAGTAGACAGCTTTGATCGCAGAGAAGAAGTTTTTCCATTCGTTGCGGTCCGCGCAGCCTTGGATCTCCTCAACTTTGCGAGCAGTCCAGGCGTCCTGCATCTCGCGCAGTCGTTGCTGAAGCTGGCGGCAACCGCAGTAGAAGGCAGCTTTGTTATCCTCTGTGGGGTGATCTACGTAGGCTTTGTGTAGGCGGTTCTTCTCAGCAAGCAGATTTCTGATGGCAGCGTCGTTGTCGTCGAACCAGTCCTGGTGTTGGCAAAGAGCGCGACCGAGGACGGCGAGCGCCGTCGACCGGACTGTGTCTCGCAGTTGACACCAGCGGTTCTCCACGGACGCGTTCTCGGCAGCGGCGGCGGCGGCGGCGGCAGCGATAGGAAGGTTGTCTAGCCGTTGAGCTAACTCATTGCTGAAATGAAGACGGTGAGCGGGCAAAGACAACAAGGCAACATTCAGCTTACCTGGGGAGCGCTTACCTTGTGGTCTCCTGCGAGGCTGTAGACGAATACGCATCTTCGAGATGACGAGACGATGGTCGGTCCACCTGTCAGCACCCGCGATTGCCTTCGTCACCAGCACGTCCCGCTGATCTCGCCTGCGGACGAGGACATTGTCCAGCAGGTGCCAGTGACACGACCGAGGATGCCTCCAGGTGGCCTTCTCTCGCTCCGGCAGACAAAAGAACGTGTTCGTCAGGATGAAGCGGTGTTCTGCGCAGGTGCGGAGCAGCAGCAGACCATTGTCGTTTGAGCCGCGAAGACCGTGGGGACCCAGCACTCTTCTCCAGGCAGTATGGTCTGTGCCGACGCGGGCGTTGAAGTCACCAAGAACAATCAACTTGTCCGCCTTCGGCACAGTCGCCAAGAGGCGTGCAGGTCCTCGTAGAATTTTTCTCTTGCGGCGGCGTCGGGGCTGGTCATCGGCGGAGCGTAGGCGCTGATGATAGTGGCGAATTTGCCTCCACCCCGGAGAGGCAGACGGAGGCTCCTCAGGCGATACTTGATGCCCTGCGGCAAACAGGGCAGTCGTCCCACAATGTCGTTCCGGAAAGCGAAGGCGACACCCGCGTCTCGTCGCACTGGCCCTGGCCGCCCACTCCAGTATAAGGTGTAACCGGCACCCACCTCTTCCAGTTGGCCTCGTTCGGAGAAACGGGTCTCGCTGAGTGCGGCGATGTCCGCATTGTAACGGGCGAGTTCTCGTGCCACTAGCGCCGTCCTCCGTTCCGGTCGGTTGGACCTCGGATTGTCTAAAAGGGAACGAACATTCCAGGCTGCCAGAGTAAGCGGACTCACCCTGCCAGTCTGGCGACGAATGGCGCGGCGGGAAGGAAGTGGAGAAGAAGATGGCGAAGGAGAATAATAAGCAGAAGTATAGGCAAAGGAAGTGGAAGTAGAAGTAGGATGAGCAGAGCGAGTAGTGTTGTTGTTATTGTTTCGATTTTGGTTGTTTCGACCGTGAGTTTTACGTCTGCGATCACGGTCAGCCTGCAGACGACGTGGTTCCCCAGCAATTTTTAGGCCAGTTTTTTAGGTTCCCTCCGAAAAGAAGCAGTGCTGCTTGATGCGCCGGCGCAGCCGAACTCCACACTGGGCCACGAGATTTTCTTGGCAGTGGAAGAACGACTCGAATTTGCCAATGGCATACGACATCATCGTAAGCCCGCGGTCTCCTGTGGTGCACCAGATGGGCGCGTGTCGGCGATGCCGATTCGAAGATCCATCCCACCGGCTGACCAACGGCGTACCAGGCGGAGCCTCTTCACGACGGTGCTGACACGGTGTTCCATCCGGCCAACCGTCCAGCGGAGTCCGCAGTACCCTGTACACGTGGCACAATGCGCACCGGGAGTAACCACCCTCATCTGGTTTAGCCCGTCAGTCGAGGCGGTTGCCCGGAGTGTGGCCGCTGAGCAGAGGCCAGTTACGTGAAGCCACAGTTGAGAGACGGATGCCAGCAAATGGACGCTAGGCGTAGTCTCATCTGCAAACAAATGAGCGACCACTACGAACATCACGTGAACCCACCGCTGATATCCCTACTTCCCATTTAGATACAATCACCACCTAGTTAACCCACATCCCCATACATACACTCAATCCATACATCCTAACCCATGCACTCACATTTCGCCATGCGCATCACCATATCCTCCAAGAAGCACACACTTACCTCCATTTAGTCCATCACTCAATCAAAGTACCCTCCAAAATACTTTTTTCACCACATCTCACATCTTCCATATCCGACATCCTGAAGATAGGTCTTATAAATTCGAGATCGATTGTCAGCAACATATCCCAACTTAGGACTTTTGCTGAAATATAGATAGATAGATAATTTTTATTAAAGACCCGTCGGGGTCCCATCAAAGCAAGTTAAAATAAATTTACATGCGAGTTTTAGACGGGGTAGGCAGAATCTTTACAAAATGCAATTCATAGTTTCTGAATTAGTAGTCCATTGAGAAACGTGATCAGTGACGGGTGAAAAAAACTCTATACGAAAAGTTGAAAATGATTGGATTAATTTTACAGGAGAAAAAAACCCTCAATAAAAATAATGAAAGAAAAATGCGAGCAGAACTGGCCTGTAGGTGGCGGTATATAACGGAAGCAATAAATGTCAGTCTTGAGGGGTACGTATGCGGGGCAGACAGGACTGGTCTGCATGTGGTATTGTATATGGGATTCACAATTGAGATCGTCTGAGCCGGATTGATACGCCGCATGAGACTATTCGCGTCAAAGAGGCCAGACGAGAGGAACCCAGAAGCGATCGGCTACAGCACGCTTCGAGCTCAGCCGAGCAGTGGGGAAGGGAGGTACGACCGAACTACTAGTAGACAGTGAATACTGAGGGTTCCGCCCTGAGCGTCGACAGACCGCATGAGGTCGGAATGCGGGAGATGACATCAAAAACCGCGAAAATTGTCGCTATGGGGGGAGTGATAGCAGTGGATTTAGAAACCAATTCAAAACAGGGGTTTATAATGATATAATTAATAGTTACCAATTGATCTACCAATAAATCCCAGGAGGACCCTTCTCGAAGTCAAGAATCTGAGTGTTCGGGAATTAGACCGTTAACAGTGCCTTTATGCTTTCCGGTGTAAGATGTTTGCTTAATTTCGACTTGAATACCAGTAACTTAGGCGATAATCTGATTTCAGGCGGAAGATTATTCCAAAGGAAGGCATATTTGGAAGCAAAGAAGAGGGAGCGCTTAGATGTAGTACAAAGAGGCGGCGGAATCACCATGCAGGAGTTGCGCGTGGCATAGGACCGATCTGTCGGAGTGAGAGTGTCAATTAGTGGAAGACTGGAGCTAGAGTTGATGCGAAAAAGGAAGTAAAGGCCAGCTTCGAGTCTTCTAACTCACAAAAACTTCATGTTCGCCAGCTGACATCTCTGAGTATAAGAAATACCGGACGAAGCTTGACAGAACAGTTTCCGGGTGAAAACCCTCTGAACATTTTCGATTTTATTACGGTCGCAGGCGTTCATTAAACCGGAGAAAGGACAGCAATATTTGAGGACTGGAAGAACAAACATTTGATGAAGTCTTAGCTTCATTTCCGGAAGAAAAAATTATACGATATGAATCCACATATCTGCGCGGCTTAGGCAGAGATTCTATCTGCATGAGGTAATAAAGCAAGCTTATTTGTATAACTTGGACCTAGGTCCTTTATGATGAGGCATTCAGAGAGTGGGTTATTCTGAAAAATTATGGGACCAGGAAGTTTGGTAGGACCAAAAGACATGAAACTACACTTGGATGATGAAAACTCCATCTGCTTAAGCGTAGTAAATCGGCATTAATTTCTTCAACACAAACGTTAGCGGTGTCCTTAGAGTATGAGTAAACACACTTGAGGTCATCGTCATAAGTAAAAGTTAGCGAATTTCCCAGTTCAGTCGAAATATCATTGATGTACAGAAGGAAGAGTAGCGGACCCAGAACCGTGCCTTGAAGTACGCCACTCGTGATCGAGTGAGGTGTCGAGTAGCTATTACCGACCATGACTTTCTGATCTCGGTTGGACAGATAGGACCTGATGAAGTCGAGTAGAGGCGGCCGGATGCCGAGAGCTTCCAATTTTACTAAAAGACGTCCATGGGGCACCTTGTCAAAGGCTTTGTTAAGATCGAAATAAATAACTACCACTGACTGCCGCTCATTACGAAGAGAAGTGATTAGATTAAGAAAAGCCAAGTGACATGTTTCGCAGGATCGTTCAGGTAAAAATCCATGCTGACTAAAGCTCAGAAGCCGATTAGCTAGACAGAAGTCAAGAATTTCATTGAAAATAATCCTTTCAAGAAGCTTTTCTAGGGACGGCGTTTTGTGCACGCTCCGATAGTTTTTAACATCGGACCGAGATCCTGACTTGAAGACAGGAATGAGAATTGACGTTTTCAATGTTTCAGGAAAGAATCCTTTTGAAATATAAACAGAGAATAAATGACTAAGCAATATGGGAAGGTCGGATGCTTGTTTACTAATCGATTTCGGAATCCTGTCCGTTTCTGTGCAGTGTGAGTATTTCAAACGGCTTATGTGTTTTTTTAATGAGTTCTAAGGAGACATCAATTGTACTTAGTGTTCTATCTGACAGTGAACGAAAGAAAGGGACCGGATCGGAATCGGTAGCAAGGTGTTTTGCAAAGAAAGCACTAAACAACTCCGCCTTGTCAGTGTTATCGGTGAGGAAGCCTTTGTTATCATTTAGCAGGGGTGGACGTTCGTGACCACGCTTAGAGGAGGACCGATGACGTAAGATCCCTGCCAGCACATGGCCCCTTCATAGGCGGGGCTGGAAGGGGCTGGGTGGGACCATAACGCCCTCTGGATTGAAGCATTTTGAAGCGTATTTGCATCAAAAGATATGTTTCAAAAGCCCCACTCATTGTACCTTCTTTGGCATTAAAAGGAGCTTATTTATCAAAATTGGCTTATAAGTCATGGAGAAAGCATCCGTTTACGCCCACTGAATGTAGCTGTGGATCAGCACACTATACTGAGGTTTTGTTTAAGTCCCTCATTGCGTAAACTCTCATTTGTCCACCGGATTAGAATCTGTGTGTGTTATTTATTCGTATATTTGACAATCGATTGCAGATAATATCGTGAGTCAGCCAAAGATGTTTTCATACTCTTGATAGCTGTCTTAGTTCATTTATGCATATTATGCTAATTGTTTAAGTATCTACTCACCAGCCAGTTCAAGTAATCGAGTTGTATGATTATGTATGTATATTTAGCCTTGGTGTTCGTAGTCCACTTATACAAATTGTTTATCGTTTTTTACTGAATATCCAAAGCAATTATGAAGCGTAATTACTCTGGCTATCACTGAAGCACCAGCCGTCGAAGCGGGGACTTTTGGAACGTACAACTGAATGGCATGACATATGTTGAAGTCCATGTATATACTGGCACTGACATTTATTATGATTGTACATATTTTCCAATTCCGTTTTCGTTTTTACAATAAATAACTCATTCACATGAATTTGCGTCGCGTGTATTTGATATTGGCTGCCGATTAGTGGGAACGTGTACGCCGAGTACTATGTAATACCGTAGTACTCTACGTACGCAGGGTGGCTTCCGATGTGTAACCTGTGGGAACAGTGAGGCACTGCGCCTCAGGGGACTCGGTATACAGGACGATATTTTAAAGTGGTGCCAAAAGTGGGCGGGGATGTGGCGTCCCCTGCGCATTTTTTTTCGCTGGCGGGGCTAGGCGGGGCTATTGCGTTGCATGCCCTGCCACAGCCCCCTCCACAGCCCCGCCTAGCCCCCTCATGGCCCCCTCTAGCCCCGCCATTATTGAGGGGGCCAGGCGGGGCTAGGCGGGGCTGGTGCTGGCAGGGATGTTAGCGACGGAGTTGCCAGGGTTCGAACCACTGAGAGCAATTGATTCTCGTTGCCTGTCGCGCGCTTGACGCATCCTTGAGGCCATCTCAAAAATCTTTCTGATTCTAAGATGAACTGATAAGGAACTAGTGGATGGGTCACGCAGCTGTCGCCTCAACTTTTTTAGTCTGTTGTAAAGAAAATGAGGAACAAGGGAATCTGAAGAATCTGAAGAAGGCTTGAGATATCTAAGCGGCACAAACTCTAGAATGGCCTGGAAACATTGGACATGACATCACGAAGAATGGTTGCATCGCTACAAGTGAGGAAGCCACACCAATCCAAAGATCTAATATAGTTATTTATTAAGTCGCTATCTACTCAGTCGTAGTTCATGTAAGTCCGAAGGACGCTGGTCTTTTTTTAAAAGGCAAGCGGTAAGCAATAGTGAATTAATACGTGGTCACTGTCAAAGAGGTCCTTTTTTAAAGCAACAGAAAGAGGAGCAATGTCATTGGTAAAGATTAGATCTAAAATGAGCTTATCTCTTGTTGGAGAGCGCACCAGTTGGGACCAATTAGAAAAATTGACAATATCTTGAAAGGGCTGGAATCTGGGTGGACAGCTATTGGAAACCCAGTCTATTTCAGGAAGGTTAAAATCCCTTGTGACTATTTTAACATCGAAAGCAGCTTCCGAAATTAATTTAAAGATTTCGCAAAATTGTGAATCATCACTGGCTAAAGAATTTTTGGGATTGTACATGCAGCCAATAATTGCCTTCCTTTTCGGCGAGAGAATAACAGATGCAAAGCAGAAGTTTCCCGTGAATGAGGAAACATCCAAGTAATAGGAAGTGCTTTAGGTAGGATTTAAGATAAGGAAGACAACTACCCCCAGGCCTAGTCGTGCGGTCTTGGCGGTAAAAATCGAAGTCATCTATGAGAAGGGCAGAGTTAGGAATTAGAGAATGTGTCCAAGATTCTGTTACACATATAATATCAGGCGTCATTTCCAGAGCAATGACTCTGATTTAGGCAATCTTGTTTATAACTGACCTGGCATTCAGTAATATAATATCTAATGTGTTTCGAACGGCAATCCTATTTTCAACGGTATTTAAAAAAAACCTGGAGGCGGATATGTAAGCTGTAAATTAATGACACTTGGAGAATAAGAACCAGTTAGTCTAGAGTAATTGACGTACTGCGAATCAACAAAAGAAGGTTGAGTATGAGGCATAAAGGAGGTGGGGATATAGTTTTCAAACATCGGAATGCTAGGGGAGTTAGAACATGAATATACTTGTTGGC